CACCCAGCCAGTGTTGCTCAGTGGTTGAGCATGGATGTATGAACCAGATCATCACAGGTTGATTCCTGGTCAAGGGCACATGCCCAGGTTGCAGGCTGGATCCCCAGTAGGGGGTGTGCAGGAGGCAGCTGATCGATCATTCTCTCTCATCATTGATGTCTCTATCTCTCTCTCCTTCTCCCTACCTCTCTGCAATCAATTAAAAAAATATATTTTTTTTAAAAAGAACCAATGCACACTTAATTTCTCTGGAAATCACAATTTCTAACCTTCACCAAGAATTAATCTCATATTCATTTATTCAACTCTTCAATTGCTTTTCAGATTGTCAATTCCTGTGAGTGCGTAGTACAGGCCTGCCAATGGGGACAGGACAAGGAGTGTGAATAACCAGCTTTGCTCTAGTACCATGGTCGGCAAACTGCGGCTCGCGAGCCACATGCAGCTCTTTGGCCCCTTGAATGTGGCTCTTCCACAAAATACCACGGTCTGAGTGAGTCTATTTTGAGTAAATGGCATTAGAAGAAGTTTAAGTTTTAAAAATTTGGCTCTCAAAAGAAATTTCAATTGTTGTACTGTTGATATCCGGTTCTATTGACTAATGAGTTTGCCTACCATTGCTCTAGTCATCGAGGAGGGAGTGAAGTAGAGGATACATTGTGATTCTTGAAGAATAAAACTGGAGCACCTGAGCAGTGAAGAGTGAGCACAGCGTTCCACACAGAGGGCAGGCGAGGGGGAGTCTGCCCTGCACACGGACAGCATTCAGTGGCCACTCTCAGCGCATAAAGGCGCCTTGAGGGGAGACCCCATCTCCTCCCAAAAACTTTTTACTCTGAGGTCTACACAGATTTTTGGGGTGTGTGTGTGTGTGTGTGTGTTTCTGGGAGAAGATTCAGAACTATTGGCATTCTTGAGATTAACAGCATTACACTTTGACAAGAAAACTGATCTCAGAAGGGCTCAAGGAGATAAAACTGGAGAAAAGGTAAAGACCAAAATAGAGGTTGCATTTGATCAGTCGCTGGAAGGGAATGAGAGTGGCAGGCTGGGACTCCAGAGGTGACAGTAGGAGGCTGAAAGTCTACACTGGGGTGTGCAGGGTGGCCTCAGGAGGAGTGGCATTCACCACGGACTGTCCCAAGAAAGGGGGGATTCGGTGGAATTCATTTTTAGGACAGCAAAGCAGCATTCCCTTGAAAACTGGGCCACTGTCAAGGGACTACGTCAGCCTCTTCCACATCCAGGAAAGAGAGGTGAGTTCTCAGATAACCACACCATCTATCCCACTGTCTGTCTGGTACAGGGCACACCACAAATAGTTTCCTGGGAAAACAAGCAGCCATGATCCATTATTTTGTAATTGCTCTTTGTCACTCCAGAGAGTGCTCTCAACTTCACACTGCACACTGTTCACTCTTGATCACATACCCTGAAGGCGCTGGGAGCCAATCCAGGGACAGACAGCCTGGGTTTGAGCATTAGTTCGCCATGTCTGAGCTGTGGGACCTCGGGCTCATGATTAAAGCTCTGAGCATCCACACCAGAACATGAAGGAGAGCAACACTGTGTGGCTGCTAAGCACAACCGTGAATTAGGAGGTGAAGCATCTGACACACCTACCTTCACTCAGTCGGTGTTTTATAAGTGGGTCCTCTCTCTCCTGCTTCCTGGTCGCACTCACAGCTGCCGTCCCTGAGATGTGCCAGCAACGTGGCTATGCTGACCTGGCAAGTCATTCTCTGATTAAATGTGTGAAATATCACTTACTGTATATACGTATTTCACTGTAAGATTGTAAATATCTCGGGAACAGTATCAAAGGTTTTCTCCCCTCTTTTTTTGAGTTTCCATTCTGTCTTAGAATTCCTAACTATGAGTTACATAAAATGATTCCTCAGTAGATAATATTTATTTTAGGGGATTGATGTTGGATGCATATGATTTTACTGATAATATTCAATTATTCTTATAAAAGTGAATCAGGAAAGAAAATTGTATTCCTCTCAACAACTTGATTAAAAAAAAAATACCCAAGATCATACTGAATTCTGCTGAAGAAGATGAATAGAAATGGTTGTTTCTATCTCTTCTTCTCCCTTCCTCTCTGATATCAATAAAAATACTTTTTTTAAAAAATGAAGTTGAACAGTCCAATCAAACAGTGTGAATCCTTATTCTAAAACATGACAGAAATATGAATGGAAAAAAGTAATTGGAAGTGTGAAATCAATAAAATTAAAAGATTATACAGGCAGAAAACAACCAAAAAACAACTGCAGGAAGAATGTTAACTTTTGGTGGGAATTATTTTTAGAAGTCCCCATCAAATGGCACTCCCCCTTTGCTGGGGATCCTAGTGCAGAGAATTTTTTTGCCATGAGTTTTTCGGAGTATTATATCTCCCGTGTGCCTTTAAGTGCCCCAAGGACCAGGAATGGGAATCATATGCATATAGAAACCCACAAGTCAGCAATTTTGTAACAGGGAATAAAAACTTTATACTATTCTGACTAACCATGAAATGGAATTAGAATAAAATGTACTAACAAACTGGATCTAATAAAAGGAGCTCACATACTGACATTTTTCTTATAAGCATATTGTAGGCATCAGTAGTTCTAGTCTCTGCTTGTATAAGAAATGGTCTGAGGCTGGACTATAAATTCCACAAAAACTCAAGGGTCTGCCACCTTAGAAGATTTCTAAAGGTCCAATGAAGGAGAGATGGCCAGTCATGGATCCACATGGATTCACTGGTATACTTCAGAGGGTTCTTATTTTCTCTGATCAAATTTATAAATTTCTTCCTCTAGAAAGCCTCCAATCAGAATCATCAATATTAGGGGCCTTCTCCCAGGCAATGATTTCTTCATAGGGCTGAAGTCCCACTTGAATTAACCCCTTTCCTATACCATATGGTGGATGTTTCCCCTCTAACTATAAGGATGCACTAGTGTATATACATATACAAAAATTATCTCAAAATAGATCCAAGATCTAAGAGCTGAAACAATGATTACATAGAAGAAAACATGGGTACTAAACTTCTGGACCTTGGTCTTGGAAAGGATTTTATTAATTTGACCCCAAATTCAAGGGATGTAAAGACAAAAATAAGTCAATGGGACAATAACAATAAAAAGCTTTGTTGATCACAAAAGAAACTGCCAACAAAACAAAAAGGTAACCAACCAACCCAGCCAGTGTTGCTCAGTGGCTGAACGTAGACCAATGAACCAAGAGGTCATTGGTTCGATTCCTGGTCAGGGCACATGCCCAGACTGTGGGCTTGATCCCCAGTAGGGGGTGTGCAAGAGACAGCCAAGGGGTTAAGGCCACTTTTTCATTTCTAACATTAGCAATTTGTGTCTCCTCTTTTTCTCAGTTAACCTAGTTAGAGGTTTAACAATTTTATTGACTCTCAAAGAACCAGCTTTTGGTTTTATTAATTTTCTTGATAGGTTTTGTCTTCAATTTCACTGATTTCCACTTTGATCCTTATTATTTTTGTTTTGCTTAATTTGTTCTTGTTTCCCAAGGTGGAAGTTTAGACTATCTGTGTAATCTATAACCACTAGATTGTATAATTTTAGATTACTTGTGTAACTTAATGAAGTACCTGAGTATACCACCTTTACACTATCCATCCCTGTTCTAGTTTACTCTGTCCCTACTCCAGGGTCAACCCTCCTACTCATGTAGTCAAAAGTTTCTAAGGGCCCAGTATCTCTCAGACCCCTAAATTTATAGTCCAACTTATACCCCTGAGTGTCATCAAGTCTGTCTTTGGCTTCTCTCCTGTACCCTATCTTGGAGGGTACTGCTAATTACTGAGGGTTTGGACAAACTTTAGGCTGAAGGTTAGAGTAATCACACATGTGCAGTCAAGGCACCCATGGGTTGAGATGAACTGAATGAGAAAAGAAAGGGGCAATAAGACTAGGACCTAGACCTCCCAATGCATAGAATACATTTACCATTTTGTTATTTTTAATTTTTTAAGTGGTTGACATTAGCTTTGCAGTCCCACTTTTAAACTATTGCTTCAGGCCCTAAACATGGGGAATGTACCTGATGTAACCACTACTAATATGCCTATTTCATATTCACAATTATATTAAGTTCCATTATGCATTTTGAAACACATAGTTTTTATAACATACCACTTACATATATAAGAATTCAAAGGATGCTTTACATATACATTTAATGCTATTGCCCTGATTACTCAACTTATCCCTGCTTTCTAAAAGCTTCATATTCAATGGTTGCCAGGATTTGGGTTGCAAAAGGGTATAATTAAAAAAAAAAAAAAAAAAAGATAACTTCTTGTGGTAAAATCTTTATTCTTTGTTAACCTGATGAAATACTGATTTCATATTTCTTTTTTATTTTGTAACCTATGCTGATTATTCAAAATGATTAAATTTCATAGAACTTCAAACAAAAACATATAAAGATGGGGAAATCTGAATATGATCTGATTCTGACATAAAAGTAGGGTGGCTTCAATTACTTGAGAACATAATATATTTAAGTAGGATATAATCATTAGAAGAAGCTTGAGGAAAGGCACAGGAGATTTCTATATACTATTATTGAAACTTCTTGTGATTCTCTTCATTTTTCTATGTCTTTTTTGTTTTGTTTTAAAGATTTACATTATACAATATAAATCTAAACATTACAGTTTATGACATCAAAACAAAAATACAATTATTATTACTACATTACATCTAAACAAAATTTTCAAACTATATGTCTCAAATTGACAGATTTCTCCCCAATATAAATCCTGACACAACCTACTTTGATTTTTTGTTAAAAACTTTTATAAAATAAAAAAATCTGTAGGGTTTTATACCAGCAATTACTTCACATTCAATTGATGTTACTTCTTAACAACACTATCCTCCTTTTGTTGCAGTCTATTAGTTTGTCCCACATCATCACTTTGGAGTAAAATTAGGCTAGTTTGTGGATGAAGGTTACTTTATTCAGAATATCAAGAGAACTTTCTCCACATCTGAACTCTCTGAGTTGTAGTGGGTGCTGAATTGTGGCTCAACATTTCTAATATGCACTTCAATAATAAAATTTTCCTCCCATGTGTGTTCTCTGATGTACAATGAGGTTTGACTTCTGCGAGAAGTATTTTCCACACATGTTACATTCATAGGGCTTCTCCCCTGTGTGTGATCTCTGATGTTTAGCAAGGTCTGATTTTCGGTAAAAAATTTTCCCACATTCATTACATTGACAAGCCTTCTCTCCTGTGTGAGCCCTGTGATGCACTGTGAGGGATGATTTGTGACTGAATGATTTTCCACATTCATTACATTTATAGGGTTTCTCACCTGTGTGTTTTCTCTGATGTAAAATAAGTCCTGACTTGACACAGAAGGATTTGCCACACTCATTACATTTATAGGGCTTTTCATCTGTATGAGTTCTCTGGTGCACAATTAGAGCTGACTTGTGACAGAAAGCCTTTCCACACTCACTACATTCATAGGGTTTCTCCCCTATGTGAATTCTGTGGTGCTGAGTCAGCTGTGATTTCTGGCAGAAGCTTTTCCCACATTCACTGCATTCATATGGTTACTCCCCTGTATGTGTTCTATTATGTTTTGTTAGGTATGATTTATTGTAGAATATTTTACCACATTCCTGACATTCATAGGGTTTATCTCCTGTATGTGTTCTATAATGTTGAGAGAGGGTGGATTTATGGCTGAAGAACTTCCCACATTCAGGACATGCAAAGGGTTTCTCCCCTGTGTGAGTTCTCTGATGTACTGTGAGGTCAGACTTCAAGCAGAAGGTTTTTCCACATTTGTAACATTCATAAGGTTTCAACCCAGAATGAATTATCTGATGCCTGGTGAGTACAGACTTTTGGTAAAAAGCTTTGCCACATGTATTACATGCATAGGGTTTGTCCCCTATGTGAGTTCTCTGATGTTGTGTAAGATGTGACTTCTGACAGAAAGATTTCCCACACTCAGGGCATACAAAGGGTTTCTCGCCTGTATGCGTTCGCTGGTGCACTGTGAGATGTGAATTCATACAGAAGAACTTCCCACATTCATAGCATTCATAGGGTTTCAGACCTGTGTGTGTTCGCTGATGTTTAGTGAGATCTGACTTCTGGTAAAAAGTTTTCCCACATGCATTACATCGATAGGGTTTCTTCCCTGTATGTGTTCTCTGGTGTAATGTGAGGGCTGACTTGTGGCTGAAGGCTTTCTCACATTCATTGCATTCATAGGGTTTCTCCCCTGTGTGTGACCTCTGATGTTTAGTGAGGTTTGACTTCTCCCAAAACTTTTTTCCACATTCATTACATTGAAAGCTTTTCTGTCCTGTATGTATCCTCTGATGTCGAGTGAGGTGTGACTTCATCCAGAAAGTTTTCCCACATACATTACATTCAAAGTGTTTCTCTCCTTTATGAGTTTTCCGAAGTTGTGAGAGGTATAATTTCCTCCTGAAATTATTTCCATTTTCATTATAATCACAGTGTTTCATATATGACCCATGAGACTTTAAAAGTGTAGAATTCACACATAAGGATTTCCCACAAACACTAAGTTTATAGTGATTTTCCTTTAAGGGCATTATCTGATGTAATAAGAAGGATGGGTTCTCACAGGATGTTCTTCCATATTCGTTATATTCACAGTCATTCCCATCTGTGATCTGTCTCTTGTGCATATTAAATATTGCCTTTTCAAAAAAGGTTTCTCGATATGTGTTTAATTCAGAATTTTGCTGCAAAGTTTGAACCTTCTCATGTTGAATAGGGTCCTCATTATGACTGAAAGTTTTCCCATTTTTTAAAAATTCACTTTTCTCTCTAGTATGAGTTTTCTCTTGTATAATATTGAATAGTAACTTTCCACAAGCATTAAATTCATCAGTCTTCTTTCCTAAGTAGTTTTTCTTATTGATATTCAATCCTGAAATACAGTTGAAACTCATTCCACATGAGTCATACTGACAGAGTATTTTTCTGGAAGTAAAAAAATCTGTATCCAAGCTATATGGTTTTCGTATTACATTACTTTGTTCTTTAATTAGTGTTTTGTTATTAATGAACACCTCTTGGCTTCTCTCTGTCATGTAATCAGGTTTCCAGATGTCTAGAAATAAGAAAAATTAATCTTACACATAAATATTAGCACATTTCTTATGAATGTGACCTATATACAAATGCTTTATGTTGTAGCTGACTTTGATGTCTTGTCCACTCTCCAGGGATGAAAATAATTGTAAGTGCATATATTTTTCTATTTAGAGGTATTCGGGTGAAAAATAATAATAATAAAATAAAAAAGCTTGGAATGGTGGTAGAAGGGAGAGAAAACTAGCTATTAGAACACATACATTTTTTTTCCAATGTCTGAGGAATAATAGCAACTGCTTAAACCTGAATCTTCTAGGTATCCTCCAAAAGAATGATGAGGATCTATATAATGAGAGCAAAAAAATTAACTATAGTAACCCATGACTTTAGCATAACTAGGATATACAGAATACTACTAGTGCAATCACCACTAAGTAAGGACATAAATGTTCAAATATATAAAATCTATGGAAAAAGTTAGCTGGAGACTATAGCAACCACATGCAAAATAAGAGACAGAATCCTATATAATAAAAGTGTGATATGCTAATTGACCAAATGGCAGAACGACCAGTTGCTATGATGTACACTGGTCACCGGGGGCAGATGCTCAATGCAGAAGCTGCCCCTTGGTGATCAGTGCACTCCCACAGGGAAGCACCGCTCAGCCAGAAGCCAGGCTCATGGCTGGTGAGCACAGTAGCAGTGGTGGGAGCCTTTCCCACCTCCACTGCAGGAGAACAGTAAGGAGTGAGGCGTCTTGGACTGCAACAGCCCCGGATTGCAAGAGGGATGTCTGACTGCCAGCTTAGGCCCAATCCCTGGGCCTAAGCTAGCAGGCAGACATCACCAGAGGGTTTCCAGACTGCTAGAGGGTGCAGGCCAGGCTGAGGGACAACCCTCCCTCCCCCGCCCCTCCCCACCCAGTGCACTGGACCTCTAGTTTAAACATAATTAAGTAAAAATAAAATTGCTCCCAGAAAGAAAAAGTCCCAGGTCAGTGGGAAAATGCTAAAATGATATTTTAATTCTGAGTGATAAGCTAAGACTACTGGGAAATCCAAAAGAGGGAATTAAGGAGACAATAGATGAATAAAGTGAAGAATAAAACTATAAAACAACAAAATTACCTTAGAAAATAATATTTAAATTACAAGGAGCTTGTTATGGACAGAATTATGCCCCTCCAAGTCCATATGTTGAAACTCTAATCCCAGATGTGATGGTATTTGAAGATAGGGCCTTTAGGGTGTAATTAAGATTAAATAAGGTCATAAGTGTGGAGCATTAATCCAATAGGAATGGTGTTCTTGCTTGGTCTCCACACGTGCAGAGAAAAGGCCATGTGAGGACATAGAGAGAAGGTACTACTACCTGCAGGCCAAGGAGAGAGGCCTCTCTAGAAACCAAGCCTGCCAGTATCCTCATTTTGGACATCCAGGCTCAAAAACTGTCAGAGTAAATTTCTGTTGTTTAAGCCACCCAGTTTGAGGTATTTTATTACAAAAGTCCAAACAGAAAAATAAGCAGACAAATAGAAAACCCAAGAGAGAACAGATGTAACTGCAATTTTAATAAGTAAGCATTGGGGGAGGGGGGTGTCATAGAAGCAAAAAAAAAAATGAATAAAAACAAAAGACAAAATAAGAAAAACTGGATAGAAAAATGTTCTGGATAAAGAAAGTAGTCTGCATTTTTTAAAATTTAAAATGAAATTATATGTATGTATGTATGTATGTATGTATGTGTGTATGTGACTGTAATCCCTAAAAAGAGAAAACAAAACAATGGAGTAAATCTAATATTAAAAACAATAATCTAAAAAAACTGTCCAAAAATAAAAGAAGATCTGATCCACATACTCAGAAGGACAACATGAACCTGGGAAAGCCGAATTGGAACAGTCCTCTCCTTTATATAAGGTATACCTTAATAAAACTACTACACCTTAAAAATTAAGAAAAAGCCCTCTGGGCAAAAACACAAAGTTTCAACAAACAAAAATACAGGTTTGGCAATAGACTTCTGTCACCAATAAACAAAAGAAGGATCACTGGAGCAACATTTTCAAGAGATAAAAAAGTAGGAGGCAAGGGTTTTATGTCCAGTCACATTACCCTTTAAGCATCAAAGTATCAGAAAAAGGCAAATAGGGTTAGATATTCAAAAACTTAGGTAATAGTGTAATCATGAAACCTTTTAGAAGAGAATAAACTTCAAGCAACCAAGATTTGATAGAAACCAGTGCCCCCCCCCCAAAAAAAATTGAGTACTGAATATATTTAATTGTAGATGTAAATCTAAGACTAAAATAAAAATTAGAACAGGACAGAAAATAATATGTGAGTGTTACATGTTCTATTGAAGCAAAAATAATGCAACTAAAAAAGCTTTAGGAAGATAAAAAAGAGGAAATAATAAGTTCAAAGACAGATGCATAAATAACAGTCTAAAAGTTGTCACTAAAACCTGAAAAATAAATCGAGGTTTAAGTAACAAAATAAGCAACTAAAGCAAATGTAAGAAATATCAATATAAAAGTAACCTACTGGAACAAAAACGTCAAAATCTGCTAACTTTTTTTCTCTAAAAGAACGAAGACACAAAATAGAAAAAATCAGTAAATGTGATATACTCATTAAATGTAACAATATGACAGAAGTGAGACTAAACAAGAGTTATAACGCCGAAACAGGTTTGGCTCAATGGATAGAGCATCAGCTTGGGGAGTGAAGGGTCCCAGGTTCTATTCCCGTCAAGGGCATGTACCTTGGTTGTGGGCATATCCCCAGTAGTGGGTGTGCAAGAGGCAGCTGATTGATGACTCTCTCTCATCGATGTTTCTAACTGTGTATCTCTCTCCCTTCCTCTCTGTACAAAATCAATAAAATATATTTTAAAAATAAATAAATAAAAAAATAAACAAGTCATATCAATAATTGTAAATGGGCTTAACTCACCAATTAAAACAATTTTCAAAGACAAAACCCAAATTTATACCGTAAAGGCTAAACACCCTTATAAAAAAAATGATTCAAAAAGCCTAAAAACAAAGGAATAAAACATATTGTTCCAAACAAATGAAAACAGAGTAATTTGATGCCAGGAAGGAAAAAGAAACACTTTAAAGTGCTAAAATCCACAACTTTGAATCGATAAATAAGTTATGAGAGCCTAGAGACCAAACAGCATTCATGAAGCAGAACTCAGAGAAGAGAGAAAAATAGAAACACACTAAAAGAAAAAAGACAGATAAAAGCAAAAAATGATGGGTAGAAAAGACAACTATAATAATACGACATGTATTATTAATCCATATCTAATTTTAAATATCAAAACATAATAAAAACACAGTAGTTTTATGTCAAGTGCGTAGGAAACATTAACAAAAACTGACAGAGATAACATACTCAGGCAATAAAATAGAAATTAATAAGAAAGAATGAGTTTCCCTCTGAGCCTACAAACAACTATCTAGTAATCAGCTCTCTGGTGACAGGGGAACACAAACCAAAGCTGAAGAAATTCTAAAATAAAATAAAACTAATAAAAAAGTAAATAAAACTAGAAAAATATATGAAAAGCAGCTATGCTCACTATACCTTCCATCACATGTTCAGGAATCAAAAGACTTCATTGTTAACATGAAATCATTGCAAAATTGATGTAAAAATTGAATGCAATCCCCAATCAAATCCCAGCTGCCTTTCTGCAGAAACTAACAAGCTGATCTAAATATTCATGTGAGGGGGTGTGGGGTTCCTCAGGCAATGCTGCATCCTGTGCCTCCCAAAAGCAAGGAGCATGGGAAGCTAAGGACTAGGGACATCCTGTTCTGCTCTCCCGGCTGTTGGGCCTTGGAGCAGAGCAGGTGGGCCTCCTAGGATCTGAGCCAAGCCCTGCATGATCTCATTTTGTCTCCTGCCTAATTGCGGGGTGAGGGTGGGACAGCAGTGTCTGCCAGAGAAGCCATCACCAGGGAGACAGACAATCCCCGGAGAAGGAAAGCGATCCTCCCAGTCACAGTACTGAGGAGGCCAAAACCAGAAAGACACCTGTCATTCAAGCTTGTTTGCGTTCAGATTTGCCAATGGACATTTCTTCTCAACATTCAGGGAAGCACAGGGACCCTGGGCCCTCTGCCTGGCCTGAGAAAGGTGCAGGGGTAAGAGGCTGGAGGTGGAGAGGGCCTCATTTGGCCCCCACCACCTGGGGCCCGGGCCTCGGCTGGGTTGAGTTTCAGAGACCTGTCTTCCTGTTCCCTTTGAGGAGTTCAGGGTAGCAGGGGTTGAAGGTGAGGTGAGAAAAGAGACTGGTGTGTATTAAAACCTTTCTGTTCCAGCAGCCCTGGGGGTGAAACAGGGATGTGGTCTACAGGATACTCATTTTATTGCCTTAGCGAGAAGGTGGCAGTATTGAGCTGGAAGCCCAATCTCTGGGCTCCAGGTCCCTTTCTTACACCTGTACGCCTGGGGCCTGAGCTCTGGGCTTTCCAGCAATAAGTTAGTAAATAAATAAATAAATAAATAAATAAATAAATAAATAAATAAATAAATATCATGTGAAAATTCAAGGAATTGAAAATGATCAAAACAATCTTGATGAAAAAGTATAAAATTGGAAGATCCAGACTTCCCAATTTCAAAATATGCTACAAAGCTACAGTAATCAAAAAAATGCAGGGCCCTGGACAGGCAGCCAGCCCAGCTGGTTAGAGCGTCATCCACACTCCAAGGTTGCAGGTTCCATCTCCATGAGGGCACGTACACGAATCAACCAATGAATGCATGAATAAGTGGAACAGCAAACTGATGTTTCTCTCTCCCTTTTCTCTCTCTAAAACCAATAAGTAAAATTATAAACTAAAAATGACAATGCAATGCTAGCATAAGTATAAATCTATGGAATAAAACTGAGAGTCCAAAAATAAATTCTAATAAATACATTCAGTTTGCTTTTAATAAATGTGACAACATAATTCAATGGTGAAAATATAGCCTTTTCAACACGATGTTGAGGCAATTGGATGTCTACACACAATACAATGAATATAAATCCCTTCCTCACACCATACACAAAATGGGTCACAGACCTAAATGTAAGAACTATTTACTTTTTAAAATACAGGGGTAAATCTTTGTGTCTGCAAGAGAGGGCAGTTAGGGATGACCAGGCCGGCAGAGGAGGGAAGTTGGGAGCGACCAGGCCTGCAGGGAAGGACAGTGGGGGGAGGGGTTAAGGGGGGGACCCAGGCCTGCAGGGGAGAGCAGTTGGGTGGACCAGGCCTGCAGGGAAGGGCAGTTAGGAGTGACCAGGCCTGCAGGAGAGGGCAGTTAGGGGCAAACAGGCTGGCAAGGGAGCAGTTAAGCATCAATCAGGCTGGCAGGGGAGTAGTTAGGGGGTGATCAGGCTGGCAGGCAGAAGTGGTTAGGAGCAATCAGGAAGGCAGGCAGGCGAGCAGTTGGGAGCCAGTAGTTCTGGATTGTGAGAGGGATGTCCGACTGCCAGGGATCGGGCCTAAATGGGCAATTGAACATCCCTCGAGGGGTCTCAAATTCTGGGCTGAAGGACACACACCCCCTGCACGAATTTCATGCACTGGGCCTCTAGTTGTGAATAATGCTGCAATAAATGTGGTAGTTCATTCATCTCTTCAATATCCTGTTTTCACTTACTTTGGGTACATACCCAGAAGTTGACTTGTAAATCACAGAGTAAATCTATTTTTTAATTTTTTAGGAACCTCCACACTGTTTTCCATAGAGGCTAAACAGATTCCATTTCCTCCAACAGTGCACAAGAATTCTTTTTCTTACACATTCTTGCAAACACTTGCTACCTCTTGTTTTCTAGATGATAGCCATTCCAACAGATGTGATATGATATCTCACTGTGGTTGTGATTTGCATTGCCTTGATGGTTAATGATAATGAGCATCTCTTCGTGTACCTATGGCCATTCGCGCCACTTTTATAAACTCATTAAGAGACATTTCTTTTCACTAATATACTCTTAGCTCTTAGAAAATGACTGGCAGGAGGTGGGGAGGCAATGGTTGGATAAGGACACATATGTAATACCTTAATCAATAGAGAAAAAGAAAAATTAAAAATAAATCACAAGGAAATACCACTACATGCCCACAAGTGTGGCTTCAAAAATGAGAAAGACACTCCTGATGTTCACCAGAATGCAAGACAATTGCTGATGAAAAGGTAAATTATTTCAACTACTTTAAAAATTCATTTGGCAGTTTCTAAAAGTTAAGAAATATGCACATCTAACCTAAGGTTGAGTTAATCCTACTACATACTTTTATCCAAGAGTTAAGCCCACAAAAGGTATATGTACAAGAATTTTACTCATAATAGCAAAACAGAAAAATGGAAACATCTCAGGTTTCCATCAGCAACGGAGTGGATAAACAAATGGGGATCTATCATACAGTGAACAGTTATGCAGCTGAATCTTAGACACCACGGTGGCTGAAAGAAGACAGACAAAAAAGTACATCCTGTAAAATTTCATTGGTCTGACATTCAAGGGCAAATGCACCTATGGGTAATAGAGATCAGAACCATGAGCACACCTGACAGGGAGGGGACTGCCTGGGGAGAGAGAAGAGGGGTCTTCTAGGATGATGAAAATAGCCCATGCTTTTTATTGGCTGTTGGTCACAGGCATATAAATATATAAAATTTCATTGAGCTATATACTCTAGATTTGTATGCTTTATTTTATGTAAAAATCTTAAAAATAAAAGATATTAAGTAAAAATAAAGAAAATGACTGACACATAGCATGTACTCAAAAATTATTTGAGAGCCCTAGCTGGTTTATCTCAGTGGATAGAGCGCCGGCCTGCGGACTGAGGGGTCCCAGGTTTGATTCCTGCCAGGGGTGCATGCCTGGGTTGAGGGTTCAATATCCGGTGGGGGGCATGCAGGAGGCAACTGATCAATGATTATCTCTCATTATTGATGTTTCTCTCTCTCCCTCTCCCTTCTTCTCTGAAATCAATATATGTACATATATTTTTTAAATTATTTGAGAAAAAAAAATGAGTGTATAAAAGAATGCCTGATAACAGCAGGAAAGTAGTGCAGTGGAGGTAAGCTGAAATTGTTCTGAAAAATATACAGTAACTAAAATAAACAATATAAAGATGGAAATGGGCAAAAATTGGAGTAAAATTCAAAAAGTAAATAAAAAAGAAGAACATTTTTTGTGAGAGTGATATCTGGATGTTTGATTCATGAATCAGCATTCTCAGTCATTTCCAAGGACTGGGACCTCTAAAGAGGTATTCTTGAAAAAATATTTCCAAGTTATCAACCTCCGGATTAACCAAAGGAAAATAACAGATCCCTCGATATCCATCTGTATGGTACCCACTAACTCACCTGGAAACCTCTGGCTTGGGAATTCCTCCTCCAGTATCCATGGCTCCTCTCCTTGCTCCAACCTGAAGATCACCTCTGGTTTGGTAAAACAATAGCCTGTGAAGTGAAATAATTTAGGACTTGGAACGGGAAGCCTAGACGTCGGGAACTCTAAAAGGGGAGGAAGCTTCCGGAGGTGCCATGAACATTTTACTGGAGAGGTAAACACAAATATCTTCCTGGTGCCCACAGCATTGATTCCTGAGTTCTAATCGTAACTATCATTAAACTCTATAGATTGCCCCTGTGCTTCATGATTGGGAGGATTTTAAGATGCCGTTCAGAATTGCCTAGTGAACAGACCTTACCCACTGCGACAAGGTTGCTGTAGTTCTCCAGCATCACCTCTCTGTACAGGGCCCTCTGGGTGGGGTCCAGATGCTGCCACTCCTCCTGGGTGAAGCCCACAGTCACATCCTTAAATGACACTGATGCCTGGAATTTTTGATCAATGTGAAATGTTCAGAATTAGGGAACGTGGAAAAGATGTATGGAACTAATCCTTAATGTGATTACTGTTCACTGATGAGCAAAATGGTTTGTATACCTGGGTTGTTGTGTATTTGAGCTCCAGTTGGGGAGCGTAAGGAAGGCAGCCGACCGATATTTCTCTTTCACATTCATGTTTCTCTCTCTCTTTCTTTTTCTCTCTTGCTCTTCCTCATTCTAAGCATGTCCTCAAGTGAGCATTTAAAAAAAAAAAAAATTATATCCTTTCATCACATCTCTCTTAAAGATACCAGATTGATTACAGTAGTAAATATTAAAACAAATTTGGTATTTTTAGACAAAATACTGGAAAATTTCATTAGGCACATGAGGTAAGGAAAATAAGAATAAAAAAACTGAAGACACAAAAGGATATATCACAATATAAAAGTTTCAGAAAGCATACCATTAGGTTAAAAGAAAAAAAATCATACTGAGAAAAGAGAATTTTTACAAAACTCAGTAGAACACCTGAAAAGCCATAAAATTATGACAGTTTCACAACTTCAATGATCAGACACAAGAAAACTACACAGTGATGTTTTCCATATATTAGTGTAGAAATAATTTTTATATCTGGAGAGGAAGGAGGAAAAGTAATCTTCTAATCAACAGAAATATACCTAGAAAAATTAGAAATCCTCAAATTCTACAATTCAAAAATCTACACTAATAAAAGAGTAAGATGCAAATTGACCTTACCTTCACAACACCCACCACCCAATCAGGAGTAAGTATACAAATTTACCCAACAAAGATTTGCATATGCAGGCACCTAGTGTCTAGGGGCAAGGCAGGATAATTGTGTCCTCACCATGGCGACGACACAGACGTTCTGCATCACCCCAGCCACTATGGGCCTCTGGGCAGTGTGGGAAGGTGGAAAGGCAGCTCTGGGCCAGAGTGAAGACAGTGCCAGTAGCCAGGGGAAGGAAGGCCCATTCTTGCACGAGTCTTCATGCATCAGGCCTCTCGTATTAATCATAAAAGCCAAGAACAGTGATTCTCAAACCTAGTAGGTGTCAGCATCCCATGGATGCCCTATTAAAATATGACCACTGGGCCTCGTCCCAGAATTTCCTAAGAATCTGCATTTCAAACAAGTTTCCAGATTATGCTGCTGCTTCTGGTCAAAGAACCTCACTTGAGAAGCACTGCTCAAGAGTCTGGAGATAAGTCTGCATTTGTGCAAAGAGAATGAAAAGGATGTTCACAGCAACATTATTTATATTACTGAAAAATAGAAATTACTTAAGTGTCTACCAATAAAATAGAATATTTAGAATATAGTGTTGCCATACCATGGTGAGTTGGGAAAAAATGTGTATCTTATATCCATTAAGATAATATATTTTTAAAGCACCCAAAACAATAAACTCTATTGTTCAACTACGTATTTCTTCAACGAGATATGGAGATAAAATGAAAAAACTAATGAACAAGGATGAAAATTTAGAACTAAAGGAGTGACACGGTGAGAAGACTCTGAAAGAGGGCCGTCAGCAGAGCTGTATGAGAAGAAGACAAAGGAGTCGTTCCAGGATAAAGTCATCAGCAGGGTAACATAGCTGTTGTTCAAGATAGATAAGTGCAGTTAAGTCACTGGTGACCTTCGCCTGAGGAGGTTCTAAGAAGTGGAGAGGAAGAGCCAAGGCAGAATGCTATGGGATAAAATTTGACTGTAAAACCCAGAAACATTTACTGGAGAACCTAACTTTTAACCATTTGCTGCATGCCTTACATACACAGTCCAACTAAGATTAAATAGTTATGGAGAGTTTTTAGATACAATAGGCATGCAGGCCATTCATTCCTCTAAACATTCTAGGTTTTATGCTAGGAACAAACAAGGCCATCACAAAACTGACTACTTGAACCACCTCTTGGACCCTTTTGCTTCCAGTGAGGAACAGATTGAGGCACTCATTGGGTCTTGAACAGAACTCACCTGTATCCAAGTGCCTCCCTTTCTACCATGCTTACCAGAAACATCAGAGACACACTTACAAGTCAACCTGGAAACTCTAATATATTTTAACAATCTGTATAAACCTACAGCCCAGTGGTAGGGATCTGTTACTTTACCTTTTCAGTGAAGTTTGACTTTTATCTATTACTGGTTTCCCCTCTTTATATACAAACTCTTCGAAATCACACAAAGTCTGTTGTAAAATAAAGTGGACACAAGCAAACAACTTACCTGGGACTTGTTCATTTTCTGGTGTTCTTGCAAGAATGTAGGCAACTCTGAAGACATGCTGGGTTACAAGAAGAAGAATGGATCATTAAAGACCTGGCCTGCCTGGCAGCTCCTGACTTCTCCTGCCCTGGGAAGCACACCCAATCCCCCAGCAGACAGGAGGAATGTCAATATCCCTTTGACCTGCACAAGGTAGAGGGAAATGGTGAAAGACAACCTATTTGGTTCTAAAATAATCATACTAGTGCACGGATTCCTGAACATTGAAAGAAAATTAATTAGAAAGTAGCCGGGAGGGCAGGAACAGGAGAGATGGGCCTGACACACCCTAAGCCAACCTGAGGTCTCTCCCTGACCTCTCTGGCGTTTGTGAAGTGAACAGAGTCCTTTTGGCAGGTGGGGTCCCTCAGCCTGGCCTGTGGGGATCTGGCAAAAACTGGCTCTCTGACATCCACCCAGGGGTTCTGAAGTTCGAGAGGGCACTCTACAAAGTTGCTGTCTTACAGGGTATGGAAAGAAAACATAGGTGTGCAGTAAACCAGATTTGGGCCGACAGTGCCCCAGCGACAACATAACCCATGGCTAATGGTAGAATTGTGCAGGGTGGTGAGGAATCAGGCTGCCTCCTCTCTGGTTTCAGGGTGCGTCACCCAAGAACTGCCACTGCCAAGTCACTGCAGCTCAGCAGCTCCTGCGTTGAGTGTCTGCCCCCTGGTGGTTAGTCTGCATCATAGTGACTAGTTGGATGGTTGAACACTTAGCATATTAGCCTTTTATATATATAGATAGTTTGGGGCATAAAATGTTTAGTGAGTTAATATAAATATTTGCTTCCTATGGATTTTTCCCCCCCTGAAAATAAGACATCCTTCAAAAATAAGACCTAGCGTGTGGAAAGATAAGACATCCCCTGAAAATAAGACCTAGTGCAACTTTGGAAGAAAAATTTAATATAAGACATTGTCTTATTTTGGGGGAAACAAAGTAGTTTAAGTCTCCCTTGGTGTTCACAAAAAATTTAAATGACAAACCTGATTAAAATAAGTAACACACCTAACGAAGGAATATTGACCCTTCTCCAAACCTGTGGTGAAGAACACTGAGGGATAAGCTGTTTATCGATGTCCCTTATTACCATTACTAAATTCTCTAGTTAGTGACTCCTAAGAAGGCTATAAAAAGCAGTGCTTTTAAGGAAAGGTCTTTGTTTTAATTTATCTTTGTTGTCATTTCTCACGAGGATCTTTTATACAAAACTTCTTTCCCTTGTGTGGAAAAGAAGACAGTAAGTACTAGCTGAGGAGTCCGGAGATCTGGCTTTTAGTCTGCACCGCTAACAAAGCTGTCCTCCTGAATGAGTCACTAACCTTCAGAGGAAAAACGAGGCACAAAGAGCTGGTCCTTGAAACTTCTTCCTGAGTGCCAGTGCAGGACAGGGCAGCGCCCCAGCACCTACCAGGACGCAGGGATGGGCAGACTGGCCAGCACCGCAGATCCAGAAGGGTACCTGGGACCCAGCAAACTGTCCATCTGCAGATGAATAACAGATTTAGCGGCGACAGCCAGGAGCCTTTCACCCCACACCTAGCTCCCCAAGGAACACTTCATGCACACGCACACCCTCCTCCCGCAGCACCGCGCCCTCCCTGCCGACCAGATGCACCCCTCGCGCCTCCCCGCTCCCATCTCCCGCTCTGCGCAGAGGTGGGTCACGTCCCGCCGCCCTGGGGGCCATAGCGCTCCTCCCAGGCGCTGCGCGAGCCTTTCCGTCCTCGTCCAAGCCTCCTGCGCTCACCAGGGCTCCCTCCTCAGGGGACACTGGCCCCCGAGATCGCAGAGACTCCGGGACCCAGAACCGCCTCCTGAGCGAGGCCAGAGACAAACAGCAAAAGCAAAAGGCTATGGTGCAGGGGGAGAAGGCGGGCCCAGGCATGCGCAGAAGCCCGCACGCTGAGCCCGGGCCTCTCGTTGGGTCCGCGCTGCAGCCTCGGGGATGGGCGGGAGTGCCACCACCGCTGGGGAAGTTTGGGGCGGTCTGGATAGCTCCCTGGTTCCTTCACGGGCTCCCCGAAACGTTGCGGATAACAGCTAGGTTCTCGGTGCAGCCAGTGTGCAATGCGGACACAAAGCTGTCAAGGAGAGGCCACCTGCGTGTCAATTTCACTTTTTCAAATCCTGGAAGATAGATCTTGGCAATACAGTGGAAGAATCGAATCCAACCCCATCACAGATTGCAGGGCGCGGGGGAGAGTGTGTGTGTGTTTTGGGGGAGGGAAAGCAGCAAGAAAGTTAGTCCATCAAAATCATGCAAGCAATGAACGAAAACTGCAGGTAAATCAAGAAAGAGACACAATCCAAAAGAAAATAAATACCTTTATTCATTTATATAAATACTAGACGCCCTATGTGCGAAATTTGTGAAAAGGGCTCGCCCCTTCGCCCCTGTGTTGGCCTCTGCCTTGGCCGCTGCTGGTTTGTCCCAAGGCTTGTCTGGTGTGATTAGAATATTACGCTTTTATTATTATAAATATTCTTTCCTCTGTGACAAAGTTACTTGACAAATAGAAATATACCCTTTCATAGATCAATATTCTCTGACAAAATTACAATAATAATCTCAACAAATTTTTGTATGTACTTTTTATCTCTTTGA